ATAAAATCAGAATTTATCACAGTTTAGGACTGGGATGTTGGTTCAAAATAAAATCAGAATTTATCACAGTTTAGGACTGGGATGTTGGTTCAAAATAAAATCAGAATTTATCACAGTTTAGGACCGGGATGTTGGTTCAAAATAAAATCAGAATTTATCACAGTTTAGGACCGGGATGTTGGTTCAAAATAAAATCAGAATTTATCACAGTTTAGGACTGGGATGTTGTTTCCCTCCAGCCCCAGGTCAGGAAAGGTTTGGAGGTGCTGTAGGAACCAGGAATTGCCTGTGCAAAGAGGAATTGCCCTGCTGGGTTTGTTTGGTTTGCCTGGCTGTGGGCAGGGGTGTAGGGCAGGTGCAGGCCTGTTCTCCTGCTGTTTCCTCACTTCTCCAGGAGGTTTGTCCACAAACACCACACATTTCAGGCTTTGGGATTAAGGACTAGGGTCTGATGAGAGGATGTAAAAGAGAGGGAAAAAGGAAAGGGAGGAGAATAGGTGGGAAAAGGCTGGGATGAAGAAAGGCTAGATTTGAGGAAGATGAGGACAGGGAAAGATGGGGAGATGAATGAACTAAAAGAGAACAGAAGAATCATGGATTTGTGTGTCCAGAGGAGGCTCCAGGATGGGCAGAGGATGGAGCAGCTCTGCTGGCAGGAAAGGCTGGCACAGCTGGCATTGCTCACCTGCACAGGAGAAGCTTTGGGCTGAGCTCAGGGCGGCCTTGCAGGGCCTGGAGGAGCCCCAGGAAAGCTGGAGAGAGACAATTGCCAGGGGATGCAGGGACAGCACACAGGGAATGGCTGCCAGTGCCAGAGGGCAGGGCTGGGATGGAATTCCATCCCTGCATCCCTGGCAGTGCCCAAGGCCAGGTTGGACATTGGGGACATTGGAGCAGCCTGGGACAGTGGGAGGTGTCCCTGCCATGGCAGGGGTGGCACTGGGTGGGCTCTGAGCTCCCTCCAACCCAGCCATTCCATGGATCTGGAATCTCTCCTGTCACCTCCCTTTGGTCAGCCCAAAGCTTCTCCTCTCCAGGTGAACAATCCCAGCTCTCCCAGCCTTCCCTCCACCCCTCTGCTTGTCCTGGTGCCTCCTCTGGAACTGCTCCAGCAGCTCTGTGTCCATCTGCCACAATGTGATGCTTGCACACCATGGAAGGAGTTCAGATTCTTTTTGCTGTTTACTTTTAAAAAGCTGCATAATTGCACACATCCAATCTGCTTTAAATGAGGACTAGGTTGCAAAATCAATACCACATAATGAGGAGCGTTATTTCTCCTTCCTCTCCTTTGCATCTGCATATGCAAAGTAGATAATTGCCCACTTTTCTTTTCCATGGGCTCTGTGCCACATTTATTTTTCAGGGTGGAGCCACTCTGGAGCTGTGTCAGGATGACATAGTGGAGGAGGCTGCTGTCTCCAGAAGTTTTTCCACATTTGTTTCAGCAGACAGAAGATGAGCAGGGAATTTTCAGGGGATTATGTGGAAAAGGATGAGCTCTTGGGTTTAAACCAGCTGGGATGTGCCTTAGGAGGGGATTGAATCCCTCCTTCCTTGCTTGGGTGGGGCTGCACGAGTCAGTTAAACCACACTTCTTGCAGGTGGCCATGAATTTCACCCTCCCAGTTTCTGAGTGTCTGAATTGACATTTTGTGGTCTCATTTTGCAGAAGTGCTGAATGATCCCAGATGGAATAAATTCAATTGGTGCTACACATGTGAAGTGCTCTGAATGAGGAACGCAGCAATTCTTGAAATATTCACTTGAACCCTTCACTGTCTCAAACTCAGGAACCAGAATCTAAAGAACCTTCAACTGCAGGTAATTTCAGCCCATCCCAAACCCATCATACCCAGGAGGAAACAAAACCTCTTTATGGCGGATAGTTCTTTTCCCATGGAAAGGGGAGGAAGGGGCACCTTCCTGCTGTTTATCCTGATATCCCAGAAGTGTCCTGCCCAAAAAACCTAAACCCAGGATGGCTGGGAAAGTTGTTGTGACTCCCCTGCCCCTCTCACCCTTCTCCTGAGTGTTAATGGCGCTGCCAGGCGGGACCAGGAGTCTCCAAAATTCCTGCCAGGAGGGCACAGCCAGGGGGGCCGGGCTCTGCTCCCAGGGAACAGGGACAGGAGCAGAGGGAGCGGCCTCAGGCTGGGCCAGGGCAGGC